CACAGCTCACAGCAACCTCCAACTCCTGGGCTCAAGCGAGTCTCCTGCCTCAGCCTCCCAAGTAGCTGGGACCACAGGCGCCCGCCACAACACCTGGCCATTTTTTGGTTGCAGCCATCATTGTTTGGCGGGCCCGAGCTGGGGATTCAAACCTGCCACCTTAGGTGTATGTGGCTGGCGCCTTAGCCGCTTGAGCCACAGGCGCCAAGCCTCTGAGTCCTTTTATTTCTCATATTCTTTCATCACCGCTGAGCCCTGGAAAAGAATTCATGTAGTTTGAGACTGGTCTCCCACACTTGTGATTTTAAGAAAGGTGGCCAAGTTGGGCCTCACTGAGAAGGTGATACACAAGGGAAAGCTTGCATGGAGGTGAGGGGATGAGAGCTGTGCGTGTCAGGAACTTCTAGATGGGGTGGACAGGCCAGGAAGTGGGAGACAAGGAAGCTGCAGGGCACAGAAGTGGCAGGTATGGGTAGCTAGTCTGGGGCTGTTTGAGGAAATGTTAGTGGCACACTCACACAGGTTTTTAGGCAGGAAGCTTAGTGCCCCGGTGACACATGAGGGCCCTGAGGGCACCTGGCTAAGGCTCTACATCCCTGGTTTGTCTCACCTATGGCTGGCAGAGGTTGGGTACAGTTTGCAGGGTATGCAAATCAGGCAGTCTCTTGTAATGGGTTTTGTGGGGACCCCACCCCAGGCTGGGGGATAACAAGGGAGACAGCGCTGAAGGAAGAAGGCGGCTTCACACCAACTTAATGCATGAAGTCTGAGAAGCCTGGAGAGGTATACATGGTCTCATGCACCGAGTGGCGGGTTGAAGTAGTGTAGTACTGGTCCAATCTCTCAGGGGTCTTTAATGGTGCTCAAAACTAGGATTAGAGGAAATCTTCAGCTCCCAGGAGGGTGGGGGTAATCAGGAACTTAGGGTAAGTGGAGCATTCTGATAACATATATAGAAAAGGGGAGGGGGTAAGCAGGTTTTGTCACCATAGGGCAGACATCTTAACTTTTCTAATCTAAACTACTAATCAGGAGTCCAAAGCCTTAACCCACCTGTTCTGCTGATCCCCTAGTCAGGGATGCCTATTATTATTATTTTTTTGAGACAGTCTCTAGCTATTCCCCTGGATAGAATGCTGTGGCATCATAGCTCACAGCAACCTCCAACTCTTGGGCTCAAGCAATCCTCTTGCCTCAGTTTTTCTATTTTTAGTAGAGACAGAGTCTTGCTTTTGCTCAAGCTGGTCTTGAACTCCTGAGCTCAAGCAATCCTCCTGCCTCGGCCTCACAGATGCTAGGATTCCAGGCAAGAGCCACCGCACCAGGCCAGGGATGGTCAAGTTGATGTTCCCATGACTGGGCTCCCTCCAGGCTCCTCTCCTCAGGTGGTCTGGTGAGACTCTCTAGTGATCTGGGAGGAGCTGCAGGGATGATGGCCCACCTGTGTGCTTTACAGTGAATTGGAAGCCTAGTGGAGATATCAGCCTACCTACCTCCCACAGTCTCTGAATGTCTAAAAATATGCTTAATTGGGTTATATTTAAAGGAATTAGATGTGTAAAATTTTGATTTTTGCCCTGGTGGGCTTTGATCAACTAGTGCTAGGTGCCGTGAAGCAGCTATGTGTAGCTGGGGGCCAAACTGCAGGGCTGGCATTAAGCCATGGGTAGCTTGTGGATATATCCGCAGCCCTGCATGAATCTGCAGGTCCCCCAGCCTTTGCCTCCTCCACCTGCAGACTGACAGCCATGTCGGCACATACCCAGCAGGCTTCTGGGATGGCAGTTATCCCAGGCAGCATCTGTCTCTGTCTCTGCTCCTTTCTCTCCTCTTTCCCTCTAGCACATCCATAAACTCTTCCCCCTTCTGCCTAGCTCAGTCCCCATAGTGCCCACCCCAGCTGTGACTGCAGCCCTGCTCCCCTGCCCTCCCCTATCCATGTCACACCCCATCACTGCACAGATACCTGACTCGCCATTGCTCAGCTGTCATTCTTACCCAAATCCTCTGTCTGCCTCCCGTCACTCACCCCGAGCACAGTGCCCCTTTGTTCACCTCACGCTATAGCCTGAGCACTCACCCACCATCCACCAGTTTTCTCACTGACTGGTGTGTCCCGTGCCTGGTGGCTTCCCCCACCACCCTCAGGCACCTGCTTTCTTTTCCCAGGCCCGCCCTTTTAGCTCACAACTCCTCAGGCCCCTGATTCCAAGGAGAGCCTGGGTTCCAAGGAGAGCCCACCCCCACTGGCACCTAGCTGTTGGGGAGCTGGCCATACCCTGACCTCTGGACATCAGGCACCCTGGGGACCCCAGAGCACAAGCAGGTGCTGCGCGGAGGCAGAGCTCACCCACTAACAAACAGCAACTTGATCAAGGGGGGCCGGCACCAAGCAGTGGGTGGTGTGCGTCGGCCTGGGCTCTGAAGCAGCGGACCCTGAAGTTGGTTTAAATCCCTTCTCCACAAGTGATGCCAAGCTTTGATGTCGCCTCTCTGCTGGTTCACAGTGAAGCATGTCTCCTGTGCACAGTGCCATCGTCATATGTTGCCAAGTAGCCCCACGTAATGTCAGTGTAGGATGAGTCTGTGCTAGATGGGACTTTTGCACAGGGAGCTGAGGCGCCATGGGGCAGCAAATCATCTCCAGAGCAGTCAGAGCCTGTCTGAGCCACACTTCAGGGCAGGAAAGTGCCAGCTTCTCGCCCAGCTGATAGTCATCTTGTACTTGCTCAGTCTGCTCTGTGAGGATTTTGCTGAGCGCTCCAGGCTGGCAGTGTCTCTTGTTATACAGTAGGAAACATGCATTTTCCCCTCAGATGCCTCCTTCCCAGGTTGCGCAGAAGGCTCAGGAAACACCCTGAGTGCCTAATAAATGTCACCTGTTATCAGGTGGCCTCACTGGATGCAGTGGCCAGTGTGCTACAGTCATGGGACCTGAGCCTCACGGAGGTCATGCTGCAGAACATGCAGGCTGAGCAGCAGCGCCGGGCACAGGAGGCCCAGAGGCACAAGGAGGCTGAGGCCACACGGTGCAGCGGGCAGTAGGTTGGTGGCAGGGAGAAGTGGCAGGGCATCCTCTGACCCAGATCCTTCCCTCTCAACGTAGCATGACCCTCAAGGTACAACAGCTAGTCAAGGAGCAGCAGAGGTGTCACAAGGAGGTGAGCTGCGACCTCAGGGAGGAGTGAGGGGGAGGATGGGGAGCTGGGGGGGAGGACGGAAAGCCAGACAGGAAAGAGAGCAGACCTGTTGGGAGGACAGGGAAGCAGGTAGGGAGGAGGGGAGATGGGTGGGCAAGAGGATAGAAAAGTAGGTAGGGAGGAGGGGAGCCAGGTAGGGAGGAGGGGAGCTGGGGAAGAAGCTGGGCAGCTGGAGGAAGAGCCAGGAGGGAGGTACCTTGTGGGCCCTGGACCTGGCCCACCTGCCTGCCCAGCTGCACCAGGCCTACTGCGAACTCAATCGGAGGATCACAGAGCATGACAAGTGTGAGCAGAGGCGAGCAGGCAAGACGGAGCTCACCCTGCAGGTGTGGTGCCAGGCTTGCTGTGCCCTGCTTTCAGGACACCCCACCTTGTGCTGCATCAGCCCAGGTTTCTCCCCCGCAGACCTGGGGTTCTGGGCTGCCTCTTTTGTCCCCAAATGTGGGGAGCATGACCTCCTCAGGGTGGGGTGAGGTGGGAAGTTGGCACAGCAGATGTCCTTTGGAGATGGAACATGGGGCAGGGCAGGTGGTCAGTGTGGCCCCCTTCTTTCAGGCTATCAGGGACGCAGAAGCCCAAGTGGACAGGCTGCGGCAGGAGGCCCAGAAGGCTGAGGAGACACTGGCCATGGCCAGACTGGAGCTGCGCGAGCAGACACAGGAGGGTGGGCGGTTTCGGCCTGTGGGGGGCTGGCGAGGCGAGGCTCCAGGAGGGGTTGGCGTGGAAATCGCCTGCATGTTAACATCCCCACAGAGGAGGTGGTAGCACCCGGGCTGAAGTGCCAGGTCACCGAGCTGCATGATGTGCTGATGAAGGACGTGGGTGGCCGCATCCGTGCTGACGGCCGGTTAGTCAGTGCTACAGGTCAGGCCTGGGTGAGTGGGGACTTTGTGATGTGGTGGTGACCTGGTGGCTGCCCCCAGGTGGCCTCTTGTCATCGACCCTTCGGGCCAGGCGGCCACCTTCCTGCGCTACCAGGACACCAACTACGTGGACACAGTAAACCCTGAGCACCTGCGGCCTGAGAGGGTGCGGCTGGCTCTGCTGGGGGCGCTCAGGTGAGATAGCAGGCTTACCCTTGCCCCTTTTCCCCAGCGCCGCCTATCAGCCCTCCCTGTTCTCCGCAGGTATGGGAAGCCACTGGTGTTTGACCTGCGCGAGGTGGACCTATTCCCTGTGGTGCAGCAGCAGCTAGAGGCTGTGCAGCAGGGCCTGGCACAGGCACTGCTGAGCCGTGCGCTGCTGGAACGGGAGGGGTACCTGTCACTGCTGCGGCCAGCTGACGGACCTGAGTACGGGCCCACGCAGTTCCAGGAGGCACGCCTGGAGCACTTCCGCCTTTTCTTTGTCACCAGGGTTCAGTGGCCACCAGCTGAGCAGCTGCGGCTGTTGCTCCCTGTCCGCGTGCAGCTGCCCGGTGCCAGCCACTAGCAGCCACCCGAATAAAGCATATGCCCAGGCCGCCATGTCCCCATGGTCTGCGTGTCTATGCTGTGTTCCCATGGTGGGTGCACATCCATGCTGTGTGCACCACATCTAATCTGGGTCCTGAGCTCGGGCTCACAGGACACCTGGGGGGACCCGGTGGGGATGTCTGTGAGGCACATGATATGTGGTGACAGGAGGAGGGACACAGCTTGTGGGCAGACCTGGGCCCAGCCTTAGAGAACTGTAGGGGTTGGCCTGGGTGTGAGAATGGAGGGAAAGACAGACAGAGATAAAATGTAGCCAACTTTATTCTCCTTAAACCACAAAATAGAGTCTTTGGTTGTACAAACATCACTAGTTACAGTCTCGCCAAGAGGTCTTGGCCGGGGCAGGGGCAGTTAGTCAGAGGCCAGAGCTCCTGAGGGGCTCTTTAAAATGCTAACGGGTTAAAAGACAGGGCAAGTCAGGGGAGGTGCCCACCCCCTAGGAGGGCACAGGGCCCAGGCCTCGGCGCCCCGGCCGCATGGGGCGGCGGCTGCTGCACAGCCTCACGTCTTCGGGGCCCATGGTGCCCGGTGAGGGCCTGCCCAGAAGCACCAGGGCCACCTCTCCATCTTCCTCCTGTGGGCCTGTTGGGTGGGGACAGGGCAGCAGTGAGCTGAGTGCAGCTGGGCCCAGGGCGCCCACCCCCAGCTAGGCCCCACTCACCTGGGCTGGGAGACGGCTCCAGGGACCTCAGCTCCTCAGCAGAGTCCGGTGACTATGATAGGGAGAGGGGCTGCTCAGGGCCGTGCCAGAGCAGCCAGAAGCCACCCATAGGGACTTGGCTCCCTAGGTGGGGCTGCAGAGCCAGAGTGGGTCAGGGCAAGAGGGGAGGTAGGTGGGGAGGCCCCACACCTGAGGGACAGAGGGAGGTAGCAGACAGGAAGGGGGAGGACTGCAGGAGTGGACAGGCTGGGTGACAGGCACAGCAAGGGTCACGAGCAGAAAGGCCTGGAGGGCCGAGGTACCTGGATGTCACAGATAGGTCTGGAAGAAGGGAGGGCTGCAAACGCCCTGTAGTCAAACTTCTTTCCAGACAAGGGCTTGAAAGGACAGCATGAGCACAAGAGGCAGAGAGGGAGAGGAAGAGGTGAGGGCCGCAGGGGTGGGGAATCTGGACCCCCACCCATGCCTCAGGGCTCTGGGGGAGGGCAACAGCTGCTGGCTCCTCACCAGGCGTCCAGGGGAGGTGCTGGTCTGGGGACTGAGGTCTAGGGGGACAAGAAGCGGGTATTGGGAGAGGTCCATGCGGCAGGCTGAACCCCCCTCCTGTCCCTGGACACACAGACCTTCTAAGGGGGTGGGCGAGGGGGTTGGTGCAGGAGAAGGGGCCTCAGCCAGCCGCTCCAGGGGCCCCCTCTTGCTCCGGCCCTCCTGGGACTTGCTGAGAACCATCTGTGCCCGGAGGGCATCTTGCTCCAGAGACTTCATCCTGCAGAGACCAGCAGGCAGGGTGGATGACCCAGGGTGCACAGCCCCGCGAGGGCAGGGTGGGTGACCCGTATCCGGGCCTCACCTGGCTGCCCTCCAAAGTGCCCGCTTCTCGGCCTCCAGGGCACGGCGCTCGGCAGGGGACAGGGCCCGCTCAGGCAGCGGTGGCTCGGGGCTCTGCACGCGTAGCCTCTCCTGGTGGCGCCGCTCCGCTTTGGCTGTCCGCACTGGGGCAGTGCCTCCCAGGGGCAAAGGGGACGATGGGCTCTGCCTAGGGAACGGCACAGGAAAAGGGGACAGTATGAGTTGGAGGGTGGGTGGGCACCAGGGTAATCCCCGGCATGGGGCGGTGCTCACCCTCTGGAAGGGTCTGGGCCAGCCCAGGGCGGCTCATCCTCCTGTTCCTCCTCTGGGTCTTCCCTGTTTAGGGCCAGCTGCACCTTGGGCCCAGCGGCTGGCACCTCCCACAGCATCTGTGCTCTTTTCTGCTGCAGCTTGCGGGCTGGGGGTTCAGGGGAGGTCAGGCTGGGCCAGCAGGGTCCTAGAACCCTCCCTCCACCACACACCCTCACCTTCCTCCTCCTGCATCTTCCGTAGGTCATCAGCACCCACCAGGGACACACGCTTGGGGGGGCCCTCAGCCTGGGGTGTCCGCACCTCCAGTTCAAAGTATTTCTGCCGTTCACGGAAGGACAGCTGCTCTGGGGAGGCTGTGGGCCCAGGTGTTGGGGGCTGGGGGAGCAGGGCAGAGACTTGGGCAGCGCTCCTTGGGCCACCAGGCCCTCAGGGTACCCTCACAGCATGCATGGCGGCGGGTGGCCATCCCCACGTACCTGGGCAGGTGTATCCTCAGGGGGGTGTGGGGTGGGCACGGCAGCGAAGGCCCTGTAGGCCTGCTTCACACTAGCAGGGAGCTCATCCGGGGAGGACAGGGAGGGAGGCTGAGGGGCCGGGCTCACATGAGAAGTGGGCAGCTGATGCCCACCTAGTCACTGGCTGTCTCACTGCTGCCTCTGACCCCCACCCGCCATCCTGCCTAGGAAAGGGGCCCTGCTACCCCCACCCCAGTGGAATAGGGCACTCACGCAGCAGGGACCATCTCTGCCCCTGGGGGTTGGGGAGCCCCTTGGCCAGGCCTGAGCCAATGGCTGGATCACCCCGGGTTTTGTCTGAAAAGGCAGGGGCTGGGCCTGAGGAGAGCAGGGTCAGGGGTTGAGGTAGAGGTGGGGTAGGATGGTGGGGGAGAGAGAGATAGGGCCCAGGTGGGTGGCCTGGGTGGGGCTAGCATCCCCCTACCTGTGAGGAGCCGAGGCTGGAGTTGGGCTCTGAGTGGGCATTGCCTGTGCCCACTCCCACCAGCAGTACACAGATGGGGACGTTGGGGGTGAAAGACTACCAGCAAGAGGAGGGGTCGGAGAAGGCCAGAGGCCCTCAGGGATGTTGGGACTGAGACCCCACTGGGTCTTGCAGGGTTGTAACCCCTCCAGAGAAGCAGCAGCTCTGGCCAGGGAGGTGTCCACACTGTCCTCACACAAGTCTCCAAGTTAATGCAGGGAGACAGAGCCAGCCCCACTCTTGCAGGGGAGGCTTCCTCTCCCAATATCTCTCCCAAAGAAGGCACCTGCAGGCTGACACTTCAACCTCTACCCCCACCCAGAAGCTGCCTGTTACTCAGGCCACTCACCTCCTGGCTGCTGGGGGAGCAGGAGGCCTCAGCCATCTTCCCTCCAGCTGCACCAGATGGAACCTGGAGGAGCAGGACGCAGGGGTGAGGGTCAGACAAGGAGGAAGGCTCCCCCGACCTGACCACAGCCTGGGGAACTCCCCGGCCCATGGGCTTGGAAGCCCACTTGAGCCAGCAGAGGATTAGCACCTTCCCCCACAACGCTGGATCGTGGGCTGATCGGAGCTTTGCAGAGAGAGATGGGATGGGGTAAGAGCCAGAGTAAACAGAGCTGAAGGACAAGAGGGAGGCAGTGCTGGGGGTCCAGTCCCTGGTAGGACTGGCCCTCGGGATGCTGGGTGGAGCCTCTGCCCACGCCTGCCGCTGAAGCTAGAGGGAGCTAGGGTCCGAGTGGGCACTTCTGCTCAGATACCCAGCCCCAGCCTCCTCCCATACTAGGTGGCTTCCCTCTCTGGGGTGTGGCCAGAGAGGGAAGATGCCCAAAGACCCTGAGTGGGCTGAGGGCTTTGCCCCACTGCTGCTTGTGCAGTGGCCTGGCCAGGCCCAGGCCTCAGCTACTCACACTCCTGTGGGGTCTTCCAGTGGTGGCCGAATGGGCACACCCTCTGGGAGGGTTATTTATGTCTCTTGAGGGAAGAGTGGGGACTGACTTTCCTGGTGTCCACACCCAGCCCAGCTGTCAGGGCTTGGCCTCCTTCCCCGACCCCACTTGGGCCCCCACGGCCCCCTGCAGCTGCCTTGGCCTGTCATTCCAGGGCAGCTCATCCTTGCTCACCCCACCAGGAGCCCCTCTGCCTGCAGGGACAGGGCAAGGGAGATACAGAGGCCAAGGGCCTCCCTAGATTGGGGTCCTCCCATTCTCAGTGAGGAGCAGGGGCACAACAGCACACGCCCCCAGGCCTGGGCTGAGAGCTAAGGGACAAGTCGCACACCAGCCCCAGAAGCCTTCTCCAACCCCCAGAAAAGATTTTCTCCTTGACAGCCTTAGCATTCATCTTGGGGTGGATAGGTGAGCAGGACAGAGGTCACACTGGACACTGACTCTCTGCATGATGCCAGTGTTGGGCACGGCAGCCAGGGCGCGGTAGTCCAGCTTCAGGGGCTCCAGAGCCTGACCCTGGAGAACAGAGAGGATGTGGTACTAGTGGGGCTACATCTATAGCTGGGCAGGCTGCAGGGATGGACAGATGCTGCAGGGGGGGCCAGGGCCTACGGCATAGCTACCACTACCCCATGGACCGTGTCCCCCACTACAGAGCCCTGGTGAGAGGAGCAACTCAGAGTTCAGAGCCAGGGCTCTTGCTGGGGTAGGAACGACTCAACACTCACTGTAGCCTCTGCATGCTCTGGCACCCAGTGCGGGCTCTGTCCAGGGAGCTCCTTCTCCTGTGAGCAGAGCAGATGCCAGTCAGGAACCTATGGCCTTAGGCTCCCCGGATGCAGGGCTCCCAGCCACAGGCAATTCTGACCTTGCCCAAGCCCTCTGGGTTCAGCTCCCGGTCAATGGAAGAGACGCTTTCCAGGCTATCCCGCTGGCTGACGCCTGCCGCAAAGGGGTTGGCAATGACACCTGGGGACACCTGAGGGGGGGGGGTAGCTGAGGGGAGGTGCTCTGGCCTTGCAGTCCTGCCTCTGGAACACACAGTGGGCACTGTGCAGGCTGACCACATGGCCAAGGTGGCCTCCCAAAACACTGCACTACTGTCTCCACCTGAGTCCCCATCCAGAACTCTCAGTTCCTGGTGCAGCTGTGGACACAGGTCATGCTGCGTGTGGCAAGCCAGGCTGAGTCCAGTCACCCCAGAGAACTGACAGCCAGAGGGGAGGGGCACAAAGCAGCACTTCCGGATAGACAGGCTGCCATGCACCTGCAGAGTGCATGCTGAATAAAGACTCTGAAACAACAGGCATGCTGTGAGAGAAAATCACTAGCTGAGCCTGAAAGAACTGACCACCATCAAACCCCAGTGACTGGCAGGGAGGATGGGGGGAGGGGTGATGGGGAGGGGCGATTTGAGCAGGTCTGGAGGCACTTGGAATTAAGTGTCAGGATAGAGCACAGGCAGAGGGCCCTGCTCACCTCTAACCCCAAAGAGACAAAAGGGGCTGGCCCAGGCCTCTGGCACCAGCAGGGACTAGGAGAGGGGTGGAGACAGCACAATGGAAGAGCTGGCAGCATCACTCTCATGGAGGGGTGAAAGGGGTGTCTCCCCTAGCAAAGAGTGGTGTGGGCTGTGACACAGGCCCAGCTGTAGTCACTATTTACAAAATACAACTGAAGTGACACAGGAGAGGGCAAAGAGACGCTGGGCAGACCAAGCTTGGCCCAGAAAAGATAGAATCTGTACTAAAATTAAAAGCAACAGACACAGAAGGAACAAGTGAAGGGATCCTCCTCAAAAAACACACCAAGGAGGTGTTAGCAGGAGAGGAGTCTTCTACTACAGTTGTTTCTACTCGACAAATAATTATAAGGGAAAGTAAGTCTTCATCAATATTCAAAAGCTAGCTCTTAGATGAGGCTATTAAAACACAGAAACCAGCTCAGCGCCTGTGGCTCAAGTGGCTAAGGCATCAGCCACATACACCTAAGGTGGCAGGTTCAAATCCAGCCCGCCCCGCCAAACAACAATGATGTCTGCAAACATAGCCAGGCGTTGTGGTGGGCGCCTGTGGTCCCAGCTACTTGGGAGGCAGAGGCAGGAGACTCGCTTGAGCCCAGGAGTTGGAGGTTGCTGTAAGCTGTGATGCCATAACACTCTACCCAGGTGGACAGCTTGAGGCTCTGTCTCAAAAAAAAAAAAAAAAAAACCCAAAAAACACAGAAACCAAGGAGAAGCCAACTCCAGGAGAGGAGAAACATGCCTCCAGACCATGTGGGTCAGGAAGCGCACACCACCCAGATGTGCTGGGGGCTGTGCTGGATCCTATGCACAGCCCTCAGAAGTAGGCCTGCCCCTCCCCGCTGTGCAGACCCAGAGGATGAGGGGCAGACAAGCCACACACCTGCCTAAGGCCTGTGGGAAGTGAGGGAATTGTGCAGGGGCCCCAGGGCATGCTGGCCCTGGGACTCAGAGCTCGTGTTGTCACAGACACAGACACTGCTCCGGAGTGCTGGGGAGACAGGGAGGTTGCCACCCGGGAGTTAACACAGAATACAAGACAGCTTACAAATCCTGCTGGTGAGCCCTGACACTGGCATGCAGGGCTGAGTGCAAGAAAAAGGGGGTAGCTGTAAGCACCTCCTAACCCTAGAGGGGTCAGAAAGAGGTGGTCCTGTGGGGACAAGGGCCCGGACATGCCACACATCCCGATTCTTTGTGAGAAGCCCAGAATCCGGCCCTGAGTGGAGATGTCGGCTCCTCTCTCCTGTGAGCACCAAGACGGGGGATGAAACCCCCATGGGCTGAAGCACAAAGATTTGTAAAACCCAGAAATAGAGGACTCCAGAAAACTCAGCACCTGCTTCAGGTCATTTCTACAGGTGATAAATAAACACAGACAGTCTTCCAGACTTAGAAAATGTTCTAGAAGAAACTATAGAAAACATCACATTTCAAGGTGAGTCTTAAAGCTGAGCACCAGCCAAGGCTGCCACAGCACTGGAGATACAGGACAGCCCCAGAGGGGGAAGAAGGGGCCGCCGCCATTACTGCAGACAGCAGGGCTTCTACCAGGAGATTAGGCTTTATCGGAGTAGAAAACAAGAGCAACCTAGGAAGATACTTGAGAAAAATTTATCATGAAGACCATCCCAGTCCACTAATACTGACATGTTCATCTTAAAGAGAAAACACAGGACAATAGGAACTCTGAAAAGAAGAAAAAGAGTCGGTGATTTGACCGAGGGAGATCAGCTATTAAGGCTATGGGCTTGGCTCAGCGCCTGTAACTCAACGGGCTAAGGCGCCAGCCACATACACCTAAGGTGGCGGGTTCGAATCCAGCCCAGACCCACCAAACAACGACGGCTGCAACCAAAAAATAGCCGGGCGTTGTGGCGGGCACCTGTGGTCCCAGCAACTTGGGAGGCGGAGGCAGGAGACTCGCTTGAGCCCAGGAGTTGGAGGTTGCTGTGAGCTGT